TGTAAGTTACGCCCCTGAATGTGTTTTTGTCGGTTTGTGGCTAATTTAGCCAATTCTGTCGTGTAGTGGCTAAATTAGCCCAGAACTCTCTTGCCAAACGGACCCTTAGTATTCTTATGTTATGCCTTAGGGCATTCTTGTAATTATGGTGATAATTTAATATAAAAGGGGATGAGATACCACTCATACCAACTTTTTCCTTCTCAAAACTAACATGGTATCAGAGCCTCTCTAAAATCCTAGAAACCACAACCCTACAGCCACCTTCACACCACCACCGCACCACCACCCCAGCTGCAGTTCACACCACACCAGACGCCATCTCCCTAAGGTTTCGCTAGGACTAATCACAGCCTCCTGGGACCCAACAGTCCTAGTCGCACCCTCCCAAGACTTCAGCAGCCTTAGCCGCAGCCTCTGAGGGCTTCGCCAGCACCCTAGGGCTTGTCGGAGCTCCCCTTTTCCCAGCCCAAGTCTGTCGGCAAGCTTGGAGGTTCAGTCAAGTGGGTTTTCCTCCCTCCTCAGGCTGCCAATAGCCACTTAGGAGCTCTCTGGTTCAATTGCCTCTCACTTCTCTTTGGTTCAGTCGACTCTTTCTTCTCTCTGAGTCGTTTATCTCTTGGGTCTTAGCCTTGGTTGCATTGAAGTTCTTATTCGATGGTCATTAGAGCTTCTCTATTCATGTAAATTTTTTTTTTTCTCCTCTCAGCTTTTTTTCTTTTCTGTCTTCTTCTAAAAAAAAAAAAAATGCTCTCTTAAATTCCTGTTAGGAGTCGTGTGCTTGGTATGGATGTGCTTCCTTCTCTCCAAGAAGCATTTGCTTATATGCAGAATGAGGAGAGTCATCATTCTGCTATGCTTCCGTTTGCCTCTTCTGATCGATCTGCCTTGGTTTTTGCACCCTCTTGAGATGGGGATCATGGTTCCCGTCCTCCTTCTAAGAAGGATACTCTTTTCTGTGACTATTGTTGTCACCCTCGCCACGCCCGTGAGACTTGTTGGAAGTTGCATGAGCCGCCATCTGGGGGTCATGGAGATCGTTCTGGGTCTCGAGGGGTCGCTTGGGTCAGTCTAGAGGCCGAGGGCCCAATGCCCGAACTCATCATTCTGATACAGTTGAGCCATAGTCCCCCCGCTCCGGTTGTTTCATCTACTGATATCTCTGAGTTTTCTACTTTTGAGTTGAAGGTTGCTCTTCGCCACTTGCTAGACCTTCGGGCATCTGGTTCATCTTCAGGTAACTTTGCTCATTCAGGTAACTTAGCTTCTTCTACAAGTGCTTTCCTATCTCATCAAACGTTGCCTTGGATTATCGATTCTAGTGCTTCTGACCATATGTCTGGGTCTTCTGATTTGTTCTTAGCATATACCCCTTCTTCAAGACAGGATAAAGTTCGAATTGCTGATGGTACCATTTCTTCTGTGTCAGGAAAAGATGTAATTCATGCCACTACTTCCATTCCTTTGTCTTCTGTACTACATGTTCCCGATTTAAGTGTTAATCTTTTATCTTTAAGTCGTATTACTCGGGACTTAACTTGTAGTGTAACCTTTTTTCCTGATCATTGTCTGTTTCAGGACCTTATCACGAGGAAAATGATTGGCAGTGGTAGAAACAAGAATGGTCTCTATATCCTGGATCAAGCAAACAAGCGAGCTCATTCATCCATTCAGTTACCATCTACAAAGGAAGACCTATGGCTGTGGCACCGTCGTCTTGGGCATCCATCTTTTTTGTTACTTAAGTATCTTTTTCCTTCCGTTTTTTTGAAAAATAATGTTTCTAAGTTTGACTGTGAGTCATGTCAACTTGGAAAACAACACACAGCTTCTTTTGCTCTTTCTATTAATAAAAGTGTAGTTCCTTTTTTGTTGATTCATTCTAATGTAGAGGGTCCCTCTCGTTTTGTGTTTTTAAAGGGTTACCGATGGTTTGTCACCTTTATTGATGATTGTTCTCGGACCACCTGGGTGTATCTTATGAAGGACACATGTGAGGTTTTTTCGGTGTTTCAAAATTTTCATAAAATGATTTGCACTCAGTTTTGGGCAATTGTCAAAATTCTACGTTGTAATAATGGGGAGGGAGTACATTGACTCTGGCCTTGCCAGCTATTTTTCCACTCATGGTATTATTCACCAAACTTCTTGTACCAATATCCCTCAACAGAATGGTGTTACAGAGCGTAAAAACCGCCATCTTCTTGATATTGCACGTTGTTTGTCCTTTGAAATGGTATTCCTAGATCATATTGGGGGGAAGCTATTCTCACTACAACCTTCCTCATCAATTGTTTGCCTACCCAAGTCCTCAACAAACACACTTCTCTTCAGGTCTTGTTACGGTCCCACTTGTCTGGTTTCTTCATTCCTCCCAAAACCTTTGGGTGTGTGTGCTTTGTTCATAACCACTCTCCTAGCCGTGGTAAGTTGGATCTTAGGTCTCTTTGGTGTGTTTTCCTGGGTTACTCGACCACACAAAAAAGCTACAAGTGTTATCATCCCCCCTCTCGAAAATGATTTGTCTCTATGGATGAGTCTTTCTTTGAGTCTCAGTCCTACTTCCTGTCCTCCTCGGTGTCCTAGTCATTCCTTCAGGGGGAGCCTTGGCGGGAAGCAATTCCTGTGTCACTACCATCAGTGATTGAGCAGGTTGAGAATGTTAATAGTGATCCAGCTATTGAGAATGTTGAATCTGACTCCGTAGTGAAAGATTTTGAGTCTGAATCCACAGTGAAAGACAGAAAAGTTTATGTCAAGGATAAGGATAGAAAACAAGTTACTTGGGTACAAGAGACCAGATTCTCCACTGCTATCTTCTCCTCCTGATGAGTGTCCAGAATCCTCTTCTTCTGATGAAACTCCAGGTAAATCTATTCTTTCTGATCTAGATGTCCTCATTGCTAAAAAAAAAAGGGGTTAGGTCTTGTACTCAACATCATATTTCTCATTTTGTCTCATACACTAATCTGTCTTCTTCCTATAAAGCTTTTCCGTCTAAAGTTTATTTTGTGAGTCTTACTTCTAATTTTCAAGATGATCTTTCTACTCCTGAGTGGAAGCATGCCATGATGAAGGAGATGAGAGCCCTAGCTAAAAATGGCACTTGGGAATTGGCGGAGTTACCTAAGGACAAATGACCTATTAGATATAAGTGGGTGTACACAGTGAAGCACAAAGCCGATGGTTCAATTGAATGTTACAAGGCAAGATTGGTGATCAAGGGCTTTAAGCAGACTTATGGAGTAGACTACCAGGAGACATTTGTTCATGTTGCTAAGATGAACTCTGCCAGAGTCCTTTTCTCCCTTGGCTCTAATCTCAACTGGCCTCTCCATCAATTTGATGTGAAGAATGCCTTCCTTCATGGAGATTTGGAAGAAGAAGTGTACATGAACATTCTCCCAGGCTTAAAACCAAAGGAAAAGTGAGCCGACTACACAAGTCACTTTATGGACTCAAACAGTCGCCTAGGGCTTGGTTTGAGAGGTTTACTCAGGCCATGCTGTGATATGGTTTCAAACAGAGTCAAGTTGATCATACTTTGTTCGTGAAACACTTCTCATATGGTAAGACGACAACTCTTATTGTTTATGTGGATGATATTGTACTCACAAGGGATGATGTTAAGGAGGTTCCTTGGTTAAAGGAGTATTTGGCCAATGAGTTTGAAATCAAAAACTTAGGCAGCTTGAAGTACCTTCTCGATATTGAAGTTGCTCGGTCCAAAGATGGCATCTTCATATGTCAAAGAAAGTATGTGCTTGATTTGCTAAAAGAAACTAGGATGCTTGGAAGAAAAGCCTGTGATACACCACTAGAGCCTGGACTAAAACTTAGTGAGGATCAAGGAGGCGAACTTGTAGACAGGGGAGATATCAGCGGCTAGTGGGTAAGCTTATTTACTTATCCCATTCGCGTCCTAACATTGCTATCGCAATGAATATGGTTAGTCAGTTTATGCATGCTCCACGTGCAATAGTTATGCGGATTCCGAGGTACTTGAAGTCTTCTCCGGGAAAGAATCTTTATTTCTCTAAACATGGTCATCTTATCAATCACTGATAAAAAGTCAACCTTTGGCTATTGTACCTTTATTGGAGGAAATCTAGTTACTTGGAGAAGCAAGAAACAGAATATAGTTGCAAGGTCCAGTGCAGAGGTTGAATTCAGAGCTATGGCTCAGGGTGTGTGTGAGCTATTATGGATTAGACTACTTTTGAGGGATTTGGGGATTCATCAGACAGATTCTACGCTGCTATACGGTGACAATACGGCAGCCATCAATATAGCTCACAATCCAGTTCAGCATGACAGGACTAAGTATGTGGAGATTGATAGGCATTTTATCAAGGAAAAGCGCACTAGTGGCACTATATGTACACCATTCGTGAGGTCTGGGGACCAACTAGCTGATGTTCTCACCAAAGAATTAGGGAATAAACTATTCCGTGACATTCTTAACAAGCTGGGCATAAGAGATATCTTTGCATCAGCTTGAGGGAAAGTGTTAGAATGTGTTAGAATAATTCCTATTTATTCAGATGTATATTCAGTATTCTTATTTTATGCCTTAGGGAACTCCTATAATTATGGTGATAATTTAATATAAAAGGGGATGAGATACCACTCATACCTCTAACTTTTGCCTTCTCAAAACTGACAACTCTCACATATTGAACCCATTGTGTGACTTACCATGTTTGATTCTTCATAAGCTCGGTCAATTACTTCACTGCCAAAGTAAATTCAGTAGATTCTTCATGTCATACAGTTCTGCGTCTCTGCTAAGGGACCCTTTAGTAACACCATTCATCTCTCTCTTCTTTATCTCACATGATGCCAAGAAATTTGATTCCGTACCTTCTGAAGTAAGACAATGCCAGATCTCTACTTTCTGAAGTTTTTTACATTTTGATAGTAAATTCTTTTGACTAACTTTTGAAATATGAACCATTTCTAATCTCAATAGTTTCAGTCCCCTTAGACTGTTGGCAATTTCAGGAGACAATTGTTGAGTAAAGACCAAGCCTAACAATTCTAGGGCTTCTAGCTGCTTGCAGTTTATGCCTGTCGCTACAATGATACGAAAAAATGTCATTATTGCATAAAACTGGACCAATTGACATCTCCTCCCTCCCGTTCCAGTAGCGGATTGCCCTTGAAAATCCTTCATGTTTAATATTCTCCCAAGAGGTAGGGAGAGTTCTCTGAGCCCCGTTGACCTACAATATGAACAATAAAATTGAAGTTTCAGGAGACAATTGTTGAGTTAAGACCAAGCCTAACAATTCTAGGGCTTCTAGCTGCTTGCAGTTTATGCCTGTCGCTACAATGATACGAAAAAATGCCATTATTGCATAAAACTGGACCAATTGACATCTCCTCCCTCCCGTTCCAGTAGTGGATTGCCCTTGAAAATCCTCCATGTTTAATATTCTCCCAAGATGTAGGGAGAGTTCTCTGAGCCCTGTTGAACTACACTACGAACAATAAAATTGAAGCATAACTTGCATGAATTATGAACAAAGAAATTCTCTTGCACTGTTAAGATTTTTATGCTTTCTCTTGCAAATAGTCCAAGTCCTTCACTAGTTGCTCAAATCAAACCAGAATAAATTAGCAAGGAGATTATTTCTCAATAAAATTAAGGGCACCTTGTTGTCTGAGAACTAATATAGAGTGAAAGAAAATTCTAAACCTTTTTTTTTTTCAAAAGGAAAAAGGAAAAACAGAAAGTAATTTATCTATAACTTAAAAGTACAGTTGTTTAATTGTCTCCAAGTAATGGTGGCTTACTATTCCACTACTCCTGCAAGTACCCCACCCAATTAAAGGCATATTCCATGTATTTTACTTAGAGAGAAACAATATAAGCCAAATCAGTGAGAGCAATTAGAACACAAAAGGACAACATAAGTTGGCTGTTGGAAAGTACATGTAATGTCTATCTGAATCATCAGTCAGCGAAGAAAAATTATGCAGGAAAAGAATTATTATCTGCAAGATTCATATGGTAGTATAAACGTTGCAATAAGATAAACAGATCGAAGAAGGCATGTAACATTATAAGAAACCCCTATTTGATAAGCACTAAGTCATAGGTGTGATATGACTTTAATATCCTTTGAACTTAGAGAAAAGGCCAATTCTTATATTAAAAAAATCATTTTTTTTTGGGGGGGGGGGGCTATCTTGAGGCTGTTTTTGCAACCTACTCTTAGATATGAAACCGAGGAGATTCTAAGACTTTAGAACATTAACGGCTTATTCTCCCACACGTCAGAAAAGAATTATCTGTTTTAATCACCCATCTTGATTCCTGCTTAATATTTCAATCTAAGCTTACTATCACATAGCTAACTCGATTTCTTTCCAACAAGCCTTAAGGCCCTTAACCTAGCATCCAAAACCCTTACAACCTTGTTGCATAAACATAAAAAATAAATAATACATAAAAAAATAAACTCTAGCATCTTTTCAAAATTTCCACTAAATAATCAAAATCAAATTTTCCTTATTATACACAAAGATTAAAAAAATTTCTTCCATCTGTTTTCATTTTCAAAAGCCAAAACCAACAAGCTTTCAACTACCTTAACCCTCCACATAATGAATTATATATGCAATATTGTTTCATTGGACTCCACATAATGAATTGTATACAATATTATATTATTGGGTAGCACCCTGCCACATCATAAACAAATACACATCAAGGTAACAAAATAAACACCAGGAAATATAACATACACATGCATATAAGGAACAAGTAAAAAATCTGTACCAGAGCAACAAAAATTATAGAATTGCTCCAAAAGATGAAAACCCCACGCTTTCCACTGCCTCTCAGTAACTACCAAATTATTCTCTAACATTCTGACATCATCCCAAACAATTCCCATTTTTTTCAATTTTCTCAATTGTTGGTTTTCTCTCAAACAAATATATTAATCATCCTTCAAACTACACCCAACACTTTTTCAAAGAAGTTATCAAATGAATTTTATGTTGCAAAATTGTTTACTCCATGCCTTGTAGTTTGATAGATAGCCGCCAAATCTGTGAAACACAGACAGACAAACTACCAAATAGATGAATACATACATCACATACAAACTACTATGAAATTGGGGTAGCTCCTGTGTGGGAGACCCCCATAACCACTGTTGCATTTGTATTCAGTTTTATACTTCAAATCACATTTGCCATTATTTTTTTTTTAGATACAAATGCAATTCCATGAAAGGACTATAAATTTTTAATCAACTTGATTTTTTGCAAGTATTTTTCTCAATGTACCCTAACCCCGAGCCGGGCCTATCGGCACACCCCAATTCCCATACCTTTCAAAGTTTTATAAGTCATTATCCAAATTCAGAATTTTCCAAAATTACAGCTTTAGACAAATTTAGACAACCTGATCTTTTAAGGAAAAAAATAGCTAAATTAAACGGGTTTCAACCGTATTTCCACAAATTTCAGATTAGAGACCAAATCTTTAATTTCAGTAACACTTTTGTGCCGTTGGCATTAACTCAGTATTTAAATGGGGTTTTTAGTTTAATTAAGATTTTATAAAATAAAATATATATAATATTTTCATGGTAATACACAGAAATTATTTCGGCCCGACACACAATGATCACATAAAAATTTCTCTAATTTCACAAAGAAATTTCATCAAAAGACCTTAGCTAATAAAAAAAATATTGCACCTCTACTACTACCTAAAATTGGAAAGGATGCTTTACTAATTTTTCCTACTTAAAATTTCACCAAATTGACACCAAAAAATTTGGGAAATTCTGAATTTGGAGAAATTGATGTACCTTTCCGTAAGATAAAGAAGGTGATGATCAGTCGATTGAAGAAGCCCAGAAGGAAACACCATTCTGGTAATCGAAGTAACCCTAATACCATCTTCATCATCATCGTCACGTCTATACACATCCATAACACCACGAAGAAATTTCATCAGAAACGCCTTCTTGAAAGGGTTATCTTCGGATCCAAACAGCCTCCGACAGCAATCGCAGTTGAGAATAGTAAAAATCGAGGGTGTTGTCGCCATCATCGCCGAACAAATGATCGAAACAAACGCGTCCCGAAGATCGACAAACCAAAGAAACGGTGGATATCAAGAACAAGGGGTGTTTGTTGGTGGTGATGACGGAGCGTGTGAGGTGCCACGCTGCATGGTTGCCACTTAGAGGTGGTTAATATGGGAATGCGTTATTAAATGAAAATCTACCTAAATAGTAGGCAATGAGAAAAGTTAGGATCACGAAAGATTTATGTTTTTTTTTCGTATTACTTGATTAGTGTGCTGATTAGTGTGTGGTGTTTTATTTTAAGTATAATTTAAAGGTCACAAATCTTTCATGATTATTTTCATGAAAGATTTTTCATGATACTTAATATTACTGATATGCAATTTATCAAACCCCACCAAAATGTGAAGTAAAATTTCTCAAATTTGTAATGCTATTATCAAATTTAATTAAAAAATTATTACCATGGCTACATTTGAAAACTATATTTAAATATATAAGACCCTAAATTACATGATTTGGTTTAAAAAAATATTTAAAAATCCTATATTATTGTGAATAAATTTAAAAATCTAAATTATAAATCTCTAACATTACTCTTTCATTAATGACAAAAAAATTGCACATCAAATGTTCCCAAATGAAATACCTATATATGACCAACCAACATTACTCCATTTGATTTGGCCACACTAGCCAAAATTTAAAACCAAAAAAAAATAAAAAGAGGACCAAAAAATCGAAAACAAAAACACAAAAAAAAAAAAAAAAAAAAAAAAAAAAAATGATGGCTATAATATCACACAACAATCGAATCTATTTTTTTATAGATCATTTATACAACCATATTTTTGAGGATGTTATTTTATTAACCACAAAACTCTAATAATCCAGCGCACAAAGGTCTTGCCTCACATAATTCACAATACTGAAAGTTGCCTAAAGCATATCATCTAGTTGAAAGAAAAGATATACAATCCAATATATAGCATTAACATGGTGTATTAAGAACAGGAACTATATTTCCTGGGAATTAAAAAAGCATATAAAAAAACTATATTGAATGTTCCGCGGGCTGGGAGTGATAGGTGCGGCGCCTCAGCTGTGATTCTGGAGTGGGTTGCTGCAGAAAAATTCTTGTCGGATCGTTTGGATCAACATATCTGCCAAATGAAAGATAAAAATCAGGAATTATGGAACCACAAAAGATAATCTTCAGCTATATCACTTGCCTTTTCTGGTAAATGAAATCAAATTGAGGATTGTCTATAGGCCACCTACTAGGGGTCAGAATTTTCTTAAGAAGGCTCTCTCAGACCTCTCTCTTGATTCTATAGGTAGTGGTGTATGGTTATTCTTAGTTGGAGTGATTTGTTTGGATAATTCCATTAACGAACAAGACCTCAAACCTGCTAACAGCTACGTGAAGGTGTACCCTCCGCCTTGGAGGGACGTGGGGCTCAGGGGGGGTCACGTGCCCCCTGACTTTTGGAAATTTTTTTTTTTTTTTTTTTGTGTTTATAATTTTATGGGGCAGGCTTTCAAACTGTGGAGTGCCCTTTCATGGGTCAGGCTTTCAAACTATGGAGTGCCGTAGCCTTCCCAAATAGATCTCAAATCAAACACACACACAGACACCCACGTTTGTTTTTTTTAGAATTCCAATCCCAACCAAATATTAATACATAAATTTTTTTTGGTGAATGCATACCACTCTAATTACAGTAAGGTTAAAACTCTAAAATTCTAGAAGTGTATAAAAATTTTTATTTTTTTATTTATTCACAGTACTTATTAAATATCTTCATATTTTCTTTGTCTTCTTTATCTCCCTTTGTTGCTTTGCAATTTACCGACTAGTGATTCACCAAATTAGGATCACACAACACAGATTTGAGACTACACTACAACTTTGGTATCTTCTCTTTATTGTTTACAAGTAATTTTATTTATTTATTTTTTTACTTTTAAATAAAAATTATGAGTATTAGTTTATAATTATTTGTTAAGTTTTGATTTGTAATTTTTTTTATTTGTTATTATTTTTGTTAAAATAAGAGATTTCGATATGCTAAAATTATGAATCTTAATTGGTGTTGATTTATATTAAAATTAGGAATTTTGGTTTGTTATTGTTTGTGCTAAAATTAGGAATTTGATTTGGGAAAGAAAAATTTTGAGATTGTAATTAATAAGTGTCCCCTATATTAAATTCCTGACTCCGCCACTGCCCTCCACAGCTAGCTTCTTGGAGGACCATGGCCCTTTAGGCCAAGGGAATTGAGGCAATAATGGGTTTGTGATGCCATTAGATGTTCTGGGCCACCTTCGAGTTCTTGGGGGAGGTGTGACGCTAGTTCCTAAGTAAGTAGCTAAAGCAAGAGGGCAAATAATACTCACTAATAGGAACCAAAGTCACTTACGCGTGTCTCATCATTTCATCCACTGGAGTTTGTGCTGCTTGCAAAGGATCTGCACGCTGCTCCTCCCTAGAAGCATATTGTTGGCTATACTGCCTCACTGACTTGATCAAGTTGAAAAATAGAGGGACAAATGTTCCACAACCCCCTTCCTTGAAGAGGATCTTGAAGGCATGAGTTGAGTACAGTGCCCTGTGCTGGTCATCTGGGACGACCTGGGATTGGTCAGGATAGGAATATGAGTTTTAATCTTAAATGTATGAGGCAGAGAACAATGTGAGTGAACACAGAAAAACATTGCAGACTTGAAAAAATGAAACAAAAATAAAAAGTGTACTTACAGGCTCCACAAGTCCGGAAATATTGTTGCACAAGAATATTGGTTGGTTAAATTTCTCATTGTGGATGTGGAACTGAAAATATAGCAAGTTAAAGATCAGCATGAGGTGAATCTATGCTTCTATATAACACACCTAAAGATATCAAATCTGTGCATAACCCAACATAGAATAGAATAACATTAACAGAAGTTTTAATTTCCTCGCCACTGACTACAGCAGGCTCAGCCTAACAAGTGTAATCCCCGTCACTTGGGGTCTAGTACATTAGTCTATTTTCTCTGTTCAACTTATATTAACCCATATTCTTGCTTGAGTTTAATGAAGTTGAGTCATTTCTAGAAGCCTCGACTTAAAACCTGTTTTGGCATCCTTCTTGTCCTTGTAGCACTATAAACTCGGATCAAGTCTAACAAACACTTATCCATCTCAACATTTTCATTTCAGTATTTTTTTTTAATATGTTATTCCTTAAATGTCCAATACAATATACCATACAACAAATTATCCAACTGTTGGACAGTAATTCACTTTCCAGCACATTCAACAGCATGGATAAGACGAGAAGCATTGCCTTGGTCCAAGATAAACTTGGGAGAAGAATGGTTAATTATGATTTTGATTTAGAAATCTCAACAAGTCTCTCTGTAATCCCCGTGCCAAATAACAACAATGTTACATCCCCCTAATTTACCGCCCCTAAACCATCCCTAATGATGTGGCATTGAGGGTAGACCAAACATGAAGGAATGTTGGACAAATCAAAATTTGATACTTGTCAACCACATCATTAGGGTGGTTTTTAGGGGTGATAAATTAGGTATCTCAAGCATTTTTCGCCAACTAATTAATATAAGAATTCTAGAGGAGTTTAGTTCCATGTAAACCTCCATCAAGATAAACAAATTAAAATTATGTTCTTCAGTTCTAATTCAAGACCACTGCAGCAGCAACTCATACTAGTAAAACTATTAAAGTGGTATCAGAGCTCTCTGTTTTGATATCAACATGGGAATCTGCAGATAAGCAATCTTGTAGAAGAGCATGGCATCCTCTGCAAGTACTGGAAGTTCCAAGTACAGTTCTTCCATTTTATGATGGAGAAGATTATGAGCAGTCAATATGTAAGATTCATTCAAAGCAGAAGGGTCGTGGAATGTTGTTGAGAAAGGCTACACAGAACCAGAAGATGAGAGCCAACTTCCACGGACTGAACTGAAAAAGATTTAGACAAACAGAAGGATGGATGCTAGTGCACCCAACAAAATTCAGAATGGAGTTTCTAAAGCTATTTAAGGAGCCAAGGATTTCTTGGAGCAAGAATTTCATGGAAGTAACAAATCAAGAAATGTCAAACTCCAGGATTTACAAAGAGAATTTCAAATTCAAAAATTGGAAGATCAGGCTTCACAAAGAGAATTTCAAAATAAAAAATTGAAAGATTCAGAAATTATTTAAGTCTTTTTCTGAAGTCATGGAAGTTGTTATTCAGCCTCTTCATAAATGGGTCTAATAAGGCTGCGTACAGCTTGCCCTCCCCAAACCCCACTTTAGCAAGATCCTCGTGCGCTAGGTTGCCCTTGTTTTAGTCACAAAGGTTTTTGATCAGATGAGTGAAGCTGTTTCTAATCAGAAAGTTATTAGAGAAGGTTCTTTATAGGGTTTTATGGTTTTAGCATACTTGACAAGCATGGATATACTCAATTACGGTTTTAGCATACTTGACAAGTATGGATATACTCAATACTTGTCAAGTATGTTGATCCGAACCTTCTCTAATAACTTTCTGATTCGAGGACTCCTTGCCCTCTCTCTGATTCATGACTTTTAATAATAAAACTCCCTTTGTTGATGCTCGGGGAACAGAAAAAAAGTATCAAGTATGTTGTTGCAGCTATTGGAGAGTATAGCACTGTGTCCATTCAAGAGTTTGTGGGGTCACTACAATCTCATCTCAAGAACAAAGAAAGCTGAAGCACTCTGATCAATCTGTTGAAAGTGCATTTCAGTCCAAGTTAAACTTGAAGCCTCAAGATTTTTTGGAGGAAAATTCAAGCAATGAAAAGAAAAAAGCATATTCACGAAATCATCATGTAAACATCAAGGAAAGAGAAAGTAAGAAAAAAGGTACGAGTCCCCATAACTCTAAATGGCATTTCAAGATTTGTAAGCAACCTAATCATTCTACTTTAAATTGATGGTTTCGTTGCAAAGCCCCAAGTGTTGGACAACTAGTCAAAAATGGATATTGTCTTTATTTCAAAAATATTGCCTGCAAATTTTTTTATAAAATGAATCAAGTGATAGCCGAAGTAAAAATAGAGAGAAATAGAAACTTTCCAGTTGAATTTTCCTATGAAGCCCTGCCTCCAGAGGTGATGTAGTGGAGGACTCGTGTCTATGGCAGAAAAGATTTTTGCCACTTGAACTTTCATGGGCTAAAATTGCTTCAAGAAAAGAATATGGTAAGTGGATAACCAGAGATTGGAACAAAAATGGACCCTTGTGAAGGGTTCATTTTGGGAAAGCAGCACTGAGTTTCATTTTCTAAAGGAAGACCATGGAGAGTGCAAGCACCATTGGAGCTCATTCATACGGAGATTGTGGCAAAATGAGGATCTACTTTGAAGCATCACTTGCACTTCCCTATTTTCGTTGATGATTTTTTACATTACTCAGGTGTACTTGAAGAAAAAGTCAAGACATTGCTAATTTTCTGAAATGGTGAGATCAATGACAAACGAGAACAAGCTACCTAAACTTTTGAACCTTTCAAGATTTTAGGCAGCCTGTTCATCAGCCAAAAGGAAGAGAAGTAGTTGGAGTGAAATGGACTTACAAGACAAAGCTTAATCAAGATGGGAGCAGATTAAAGGTCAAGACATTGCTAATTTTCAAGAGATTTAAAGCCCTTGTTGAAAAGCAAGGTGGTGGTTGTGCCATCAAGACAATTCCAAGTGACAAAGGAGGTAAATATACCTCAGCAAAATTTGAAGAATATTCCAAAAATTAAGGTATTTGGAAGCAACGCCAGATATAGCCCACAACAAAATAGAGTTGCAACGAGGTAGAACAGAACCATTGCTGAAATGGTGAGATCAATGACAAACGAGAACAAGCTACCTAAACTTTTGAACCTTTCAAGATTTTAGGCAGCCTGTTCATCAGCCAAAAGGAAGAGAAGTAGTTGGAGTGAAATGGACTTACAAGACAAAGCTTAATCAAGATGGGAGCAGATTAAAGGAGGTTTGTGGACAAAGGATTCACACAGAAACCAGGTACAGATTTCTTTGAGACCTTTTCTCCTACTGCAAGGATGAAAACAATGAACCTTGACTGCACTTGCTGCTGCTCGAAAGAAATTGAAATTTTTTCAGCTTGATGTTAAATCTGCCTTCTTAAATGGAAAACTTAAAGAGGGAATATATGTTAAGCAGCCTCAAGGATCCTTGGTGAAAGGGAGAGAAGTTAAAAGTTTATAAACTGAAACAAGCTCCCCATGCTTACTACAGTGAAATTGACAGCTACTTCACAAGCTCCCAGCCTCAAGGCCCTTCACAAGCTCCCATGCTTGCTCCACGTATGCATCAATCAAGATATGTAAAGAAATAAATAGATAATTCATCAATAAAAATGATGTTCTTCACTTCTAATTCTAGATCTTTGCAGGCTACAGAAGCAACTCAAACTAGTAAAACTATCACCAATAACTGTTTTTATATAATTTCCCCCAACTTGGGAAAATTCACTGACTAGAGATACTCCCTGGACTCTTCTCCATTTCATCCCTTTCACTTAAGCCTACAGGAAACGTCCTCTTCACTTTCCATTCCTTATAGATGATCAATCTGATTAACTTCCATTCCTCTTCAATTTCCATTCAATTAAGCCAGTGTACCTTCATTTCATTTCAGATGCGACTTACCACAATTGCCACCAGCTATGCTCATAGGGTAAGAAGCATAATGGAGTCCCCGGGATGGATGACGTGAGTGACAGCCCAGAACATTTAGGTGGCCGTTGATAAAGCCCCCAAACCAGATAATGTTGGCCTGACTTAATTCAGGCCCAAATCCAAGCTTACATGTAGTGCATTATAGTTTCTTTTCAAGAAATTGATTTTTCTGATTAAAGCCACTTTGAAGGCTTTCTGCCTCTTCTCTACACCATCTCTACCATATGCGCTCCTTTCTCATTGCTCTTGCACAAAATATCCAATCATGGTTTCCATAAAGAACAAGAAGAAAAAGAAAGTAAAAAAAAAAAAAATTAAAAAGAAAAAAAGAAAAGAAAGGCCTCCAATAAGAATACTGCCATTGATTTTTGCACATCATCATCATGTTCTTCTCCTCTTATTGTCCATCTAAACTAAGAAACTATATTGTTATTTATGTCTTCTCCAAAAATATTCAATTACTAGGTATCTAGGGTTTCAAAATGACAAAATGCTTTTGTTCAATTTCTTATTGATGCAGGTAGAGGCTGATTTAGCCACAAACTAACGAAACGTAGGAAAAAGATAAACGGCAAAAAGAATGGAAAAATTTATGAGGAATGTAGTTAAAAAGGCAAACCAGCAGATTGTCTGCTAAAAACCAGCAGAATGAGGCCATAAATTAGCTAGCCACAATATAATGAAAATGCAAACAGAATGGGAAAAATTACAAGAGATATGGTTAAGGACAGACCAAATATCCAAACTGTTATAAGAACAATAACAAAAGAAAGGCATGCAAAAACCATTTCCATACCAGGGGCATATCAAAAGCAATAAAATTCCCAACAGGTTTATTTGCAACGAAGACCATCTGTATGGTTGACAAGAAGATTGTTCCCTTTGCTTTAACCTTACCCCCATTAGCACTGATAGCAAAGTCCAACATGAGGTTCAGTTCTTACCACACTAAACAATTTTTTAAATTTAAAATAATAATAATCTGCACAATACAAAGACCAATTGAGATTTGAAATTGTCACTTCCATGACCCAATGTTCACTAAAAAACTGGAACATGCAATATAACAAATAAACAGAGAGAATAGATGAGGGGGAAGCTTTTCCAAAATAATTAAAGGCATGCATAGGAACCATCACAAAAAAATATGTACTTACACCGGGTGGTAAAAATTGTTTCAATTGGTGAACATAATCGAGATGATGCAAATGTGTTGATGAGACCAAACTGTTAGGGAAAATCGATGATTCCCCACAAGTAAATCAATCAATGGGAATAAAAACTAATGCGGAAAAATTAAATCAAAGGCAACACAAGAATTTTTACGTGGTTCCCTCAATGTGAGGTACGTCTACGGGATCGAAATCCAATTCCACTATCAACCAAATAAGTTCCAAACGATTACAAACGAGACACTAATGGTCTCACAAAACCACCCTTAAGTGAATTCCAAATAATCACAAATAAACAAAGAGGAAAGACCTCACCAAATAGAAGAACCAAAATCTTCAGAAGGAATGTAGTTAAAAAGGCAAACCAGCAGATTGTCTGCTAAAAACCAGCAGAATGAGGCCATAAATTAGCTAGCCACAATATAATGAAAATGCAAACAGAATGGGAAAAATTACAAGAGATATGGTTAAGGACAGACCAAATATCCAAACTGTTATAAGAACAATAACA